TATATTTTCATCTGTTATATACAAATAAAGGAGGTCATCCGTGAATCATCCAAGCCTGAGATAAAATATGATTTTTAAGGATGAAATAAAAGATTACAATGGAACAAAAAAAGGAAGATTTTAAAAACATAAAATGAAAGTCCACCCAAGAATGAAATAAAATATAACAATGCGGAATAAAATAGAAGATCATTAAAATATATAAAGATGGAAGATGAAGGAAGCAAGTTGAAATATAAAAGATCACATATGAGAATGGAACGCGAAATCACCGCGGAAAATATGACATATAAACGAAATAACATTTCCAATCAGAGCGTATAGATATAAAATGTAAATCGTGCAAAGAATTGAAAATTCTTATTAGGCTTGTGTGTGATTACTGAAAAGGAATAGATGCGGGTGGAACCGGAAATTGATTCGAGATCGAGAGAGGAAGGGGTTACAGGATAAATTTATTATTCATAGGTGGATTTGAAGCTTAGCAGATAAGTTCTCTCTCTTTCTCTCTCTTATTGCGAGCAGGGTCTTTCGTCGCGACGCTCACCAGGCGCCGTGGCTAGCTAGACGGTGCTCTAGCTCTCTAACGAAGAAAATGAAGCTAGCTAGCTAGCCGGAGCGTCTATTTTTATCATGGGGTAGGGAATTGTTCCTTGTCCCGACCACGAGGCGCAGCTAGTGTGGCCCGCAGAAGCACGTTCGCCAATGCGACCGGGTTCAAACCATTTATAAATAGTAGGTGTCACGCCGAGAGAAAATCGGCGAAGATGCCGGATACCATGTGTCGCATCGGGCATTACGCCACATTAAACTGGAATTATTGATGATCGATGCACGTATCGATCTAGAATATCGTCAAACGGACTCTCTCGTGTATTATTACAATGTCAATTTTGAAAATCAATTGCTGATTGTTTGCGCGCTATATGGTTGAATTTGTCCGGAAATGACGAGGCTAAATTATGAGATGTGATATATATATATATATTTCATCAAATGTTCATTATTTTATATATCAGTTCCCTGAAGCTTTTCGTACTATAAAAATTGAAATTCCAAAATTTTATGAAACAATAAATTTTTCTTTTTCATCACACCAAATTATTTTATTTCGATATCAATATAGATTTGGAGATATTTTTGATAATATGTCTAATACTTTTAAATAAACATTTTTATTATTTAAAATACACTAAAACGTCAATCGAGAACAGACGAATGTGCAGTGCTGTTCTCGATTGACGCGATTTTTATCGCTCGAAAATAAAAACACTCAGGGCCGTATGAAGGGCCTTACGCAACAATGTGAATTCTATCTAGGGGATTTTCACTAGTGGGGCACTGAATCCACCTTAAATTTAAAAATCACAAGTACGACTTTGGCGTCAGTCATAACCTAAATTCTACCCGCTTCCCCACTTCCCTTCAAGTGTTCCCTTGCTCTGTTCTCGACTGACGTGTTCTCGATTGACGTTCTAGTGTAATAATTTTGTATTGAGAAAAAAGTAATTTATTTTTTATTGTATGACTAATGACCGATTGACCAAATATACCTGTCAGCCAAAAGAAAATGCCAATTAGTTGACTCTCCCTCTTTCTTTAATGAATTGAAATCTATTTTAAAAAATATATTAGTCATTAATCTTAATCACTCGAGTAGTATTGTATATATATATATATTTAATACAATTGTTAAGTTGTATATAAAAATATATATTTTAACCTCTATATATTCTTTCTCGTATACGCGATAATCTCGTTTAATTTTGCTGAGGATTTTTTTTTCTCCTTTTGCATCTACTTGAGAAAATTTATCAAGTATTTGAAAAATTTCCTCGCGTTGCAATATTCAACGTAATTCCTATATATTTCTCCATCACATTTTCGTTTTATTGCATTTTTTTTTCTTTCCTATCGAATTGATTGAATTTTACCCGTTTCCGCGTTACCCTTCGACCTAATATTATCTCAATTTCTCTTTGTCTATTTACGCCTCAATTCTCTTTACCTTGAAGATCATCCTACCATCTATTTACTTTTTTCTCAAGTGTATGCCTCGTTTTATATATATAATATTGTTCTTTATTTTTACACTCGTAAATATTTTCGAATTTTATATAAAATTTTTCCACTTCATTCATCAATTATTATTTATTGGATCATATATACTGGATGATATATGAGAGAAAATTTTCTCATTTTTTTTATGCAATAAAATCTCAGAAAATTTTTTTTTCGTTATACGAGAGAGAAACTTTATGCCTAAATTGAATATTGACCTAAATAATATTTACCCTCTTATTCGTATCTCTTATAAAAATGCGAATGTTTCGTTCTGATAGCCAAACTTTTCGAATAAAACTTCTCCCCCGTATCTTAACGCAGCAGTAAAGAAATCGAATCATTTGCATTTAGGTCCCTTATTTAATAGCAAGATACATCAGATAATTTTGGTTTTACAAAATTTATATATATATATATATATATATGTATATATTTATGTATCGGAGGTTCAAAGTTTCTTCTACAACTATTTCATACACTAAAAAATATTTTCGTATTCAATTAAGAGGGATTTTTTTAAATAATTAAAAGAATTTTGTTTATCAAAAAAAGTAGGTTTCTCTAATTCACAACAATTTGTTTTTCATTCAATTTTGTATCGAAATCGGTCAATAAAAATAAATTAAAAAAAAAAAAAATGAGTTATATGGAAAATTTGAAATTTAATTACGTATTAGAATTCAAAAAATAATTCAATATTTGAGAAAATTTCAATTTCCAAAATACCTGTATTTTATGATTATTTAATTTTTTAAAATAATTCAATTTAAAGAAAATTTTTTTTTAAATCAAATACTTTCAATACTTTCAAGGGTATTGGAACCCCTCCCACCCCCTTAAATTTCTTTAATTTATTTATTTATAAAAAAATGAGAAAAATGATATATTTTGATTTTTATTAAATTGAAAATTTCTCAAATTAAGTCAAAGTAAAATGTATTTTTGTAATCAAAGGATAAAAATAAAATCTCTAAATTTTTAAAAATACTTTCTTTTGTTTGAAAAAAATAATTTCTTACTTTTTATAAGCAAAGAGATTTTTTTTCAATTTCATGAAAATTGAAGTTAAAATAATTTTCTTCCATTCAAATTTTTTTTCTCAATCAAAAATTTAAAAAAAAAATTCATTTTCAGTAATGGAAATTTTTTTTTTGATAAAAATACCATTTAAATTTTACACCTATAGAGAAAAAATATATTTGCCTTAGAGCTAAAGAAATATTTGTTGCAAAAAATTTTATTTAGTTGAAATAAATATATTTTTATTTAATGTAAAAAAAATTACTCTCTAAATTTGAATTAGACACTTTTGACTAATTCAACTGCACCGATTATGTTCTTTCTAAGTCTGAATCAGTGATATTTCATTGATTAGCAGTAGAAATCTACTAATTGCCATTGCGAGAATTGAGCAATTGATAATTAGTAGAAATTTACTGATTCAATTAGTAAAATATCAATTACTGATTGAATCAGTAATATAAATATATGGCGGCGGCCGCAAAATCGAATGATTTAACAGTTAATTTTAAAGATCATGTGAACTACAAATTACTGATTTACATAAGTTATTTTCTATTGCTTGCATATTCACTAATTATATTAGTAAATTTCAAAAAATAACTGAAATTTCAGTTAAAATGAAAAGTACTGATTGAATTAGTAAAATTTCTACTGATTCAGATTTAGAGAGTTAGTTAGAAAACTAATAATTTATTTAGTAAGGCAACTATTTCAATTAGTAAACTTTAATCAATAAATAAGTAGCTTTTTACTATCAATAAGTCATTTCTGACTAAAAATTAGTCATAACGGTTACTAATTCATTCAATAAATTAATTGGTGCATTTGAATTAGTCAAAAGTGACGAATTCAAAATTAGTGAGTATATTTAATTTGAATAAAAAGTTCTTTAAAACACAATTTTTTTATAATCAAAGTATTTTTTTTTTAAATTGAAAGTATTTTCTCTGATAAAATGATTTTTTATTTACAACAAAATTTGAAAGAACTTGAAATGTTTTATTTGAACCAAATATAATGTATTTAAGTTAAATAAACGTATATTTATCTCAGAGCCTACTAGTCCATTTATTTGGTGTAAATAAAAATTTTATTTCTCATAAATACAATTTTTTATTTAAATCAAATAAAATTTATTTGGCTCTGAGACGAATATATCTTTTCTCTTTGTGTAAAAAACCATTTGAGAAATTATTGCCTTTTAGCAAAACTTGGAAATAATATTAAAAAAAAAAAAAGAAAAAGAAAAAAAAACATGAATATTTGGAAAGAAAATTTTTTTGAAAAAATCAACACTCAACAGTTGAAGAAAAAAGTTGGAAACTCTCATTATTATTTGCATGTATACGTTTTGAAGCTACATGTGTCGTTCTTGTTCACCCGTGTCACGAAGTACGAAGCGCAACCTTAGCCCCATTGTACGGGGATCCAGGTAAATGACTTTTCGGCTCAATTTCAGCTCGAGTTACCTGGCACGATTCTCCGCGTTCACTTTTGTCGGGCATTCGACCCGCGAGACGACAAACGGCCACCTACTACTTTTGCGAGCGCATAAACCGCAGCCTATGATCTGTTTTTAAAATGCGCGCCGAATCATTGTGTCAAACAAGTATATATATATATATATATATATATATATATATACCCACAAGAAAATTCGTTCAAGAAAACATCAACGATGCAAAATTTATATATTCTAAAACTATTGTCATCAGCCAAGAGGAAAACTTGAAGATATATTTTTGTAGGGGACACATTGTAATTTGTGGACCAAAAAAGAAATATCATCTTTTAGATGATTTTAAAATATAAATCTCGTCCCTATATATTTTGGATTATTTCATTTGCAAAAAAAAAAAAAAAAATTATAATAAAACGCACTTAATGGGGGATAAATTTTTTCAACTTCAAACCTTTTTCAATGTTGTTTTCCACACGAACGATCGATCCACGACGAATCCACGAGACACGTGCATCCATTTTTCGCGCACTCACTTTTCGGAGTTGAATCGATGATTTCTTAATTTAATTTAATTTCTTTTCTTTTTTTTGAGGAAATAAATTTTTATTGACACTCAATTGAAGGTGAGAAGACACTTGAGAAAGATGTGGTGTACATTGATAAACTCCAAAAAGAAGAAGATAAAGAGGAAACCACTGGTCGATCGCTCAAGAAATACGGATATGTAGTACCGTGGTTTTGTGGTTGATCTGCGCCTTGAAATTTTGTCATCGATGAGCCGATTTATGTCTTGTTGATTATCGTGTTCGTATTTATATTTGAGATTGTTGTTTTATTTTGCTTTTTTTTGTCCGTTTTTCTAAAGATTTTTTTTTATTTTTTTTATTATTATTATTGGACTTTATTTTGAACGTTGACTAGCGCGAAGGAAAACGGGGTCGAACGTCAGGGTGGTGGCATGATTGCGACTACCTTGTCGGCGCTGCCCTCACGGCGACAGCGTCGCGACGCCTCTTCGTGAAACACATGCGCTGTTCAATACCGGCCACTAATATAGGATCGCTTAAAGTTTTTTTTTCATCATTCACATATTCACCCCGTCGGCATTGAATCACACTTTTTTCCCAACAGAGCCATTGATTTTTATAACGAAAAGTTTTTTTTTTTTTTTGAATTACAAAATTTTGTTATTTTGATTATTACTGATTTAATAATTATATTATCGATTTTTATTAGAATTTTGACAATTGTCTCTCGATTCTAAATTATAGAAAAAACCAAATAAATCCGTATTTTAGAAAATTTCATTCAAAAAAAAAAAAATTTCTCAGTTTTCAAAAATATTATTTATTTTAAAGTTATATACATATTATGATTATTTTTTTCAAATTATAATTCGATGAAATTTTTGTATCTTCTTAATTATAAATTAATTTCCCTCACAGAAATATTTTCTTTGAGTTAAGTATCTACCTAAATGTATATTTGTCTCAGAGCCTACTAACCTATTTATTTGTTTCTAATAAAAAATGTTATTTGTCTGATATAAAATTTTTATTTAAACTAAGTGAAATTTCATTTAAAACAAATAAAACTTTATTTAAAATAAATTTTATTTAGTTTTTAATTTTTTTATCACAAAAAAAAATTGGTTAAATTTTTCATGTTAGCAACAGCATAAACAAAGATAACGAGTATTGCAAAAAAGATTGAAAATCAAAGATGACACTCTTTCAGTATTTTGTCTCGTATTTGAAGAAAAAGAAGCTAAAAATTTATTTTATTATTTATAATTGTTTGTTATGAATACTAGAACAGAAACTATTTTTCATTTTTGCCTTCTGTAAAATTTTATTAATAATATCAGACCGTTCGTATTTACCCCGGAAAAATTGGAAAACCGGGGTAAATCCGAACGGTATTTTCAATAATTTTTTCTTATTTGATTACACTATTATTTTAACGTTATAAAAGTACATAGAAAAAAGTTTTTCTTCCTATATGTATCCTCGTTAGTAATTAATAAGCAGAAACTTAATCTCTGTTATCTCGAAGGAGTGTTCCACTTTTTTTGCCAAATGGTTTGGTGAAAAAAGTTTTTCAGGATCTTAATAAAATTTGGTATTCCAGGGTTTTTGGGGTCGCTGATTACCAATTTGAAGTTATATATGATGCATTATTACATAATAGGTTTATTATCGTATTTTTTTTGAGTTTTTATATAAGTTTAACAATTGCAATACTTTAAATTTATTTTCCCTAAGATTTTTCTGAAATACAGTGGCGTTCGTATTTACCCCGGTATTTTAGGAAAGTTGCAAAGTATCGAGGTAAATACGAACGCTAAGTTTCCTGCGATTGTAATTTATCAAAAATTTTTGCTACCTCATAAAATTGTTCTATGGAAGTAAAGTAACAACTTCTTGCACCAGAATACCGGAAGTATTGTCTTTGAAAAGAAAAAACTTATGTTATTATTGAAACTTACTAAAAGCTTTCGGATTTACCCCGGCTGACCCTAAATATTTATTTGTTTTAAATAAATTTTATTTATGTTAAATCTAAAATGTTATTTGTACTAAATAATTTTTTTTTTTATTTAAAACAAATAAAAAGTTATTATAGGTTCTAAAACAAATATATTTTTATTTGTCTGAAATAAACGTCAATAAAATATTACTGATATTGCGATTAAGTTTTGGAAAATTTCTACCTTTATTTATTTTCATTATTAATAAATTTATCGATTTTTGTGCGACACTTTGCTTCATTATAAATTCATTTAATTACTTTTTAATTATCTTTTTTTGGCACTTGTAGTAATTAATTTAATGAAATTAAATATTAAAATATTTTTTCTCGAACTTTTTCGTAATTTTTTTAATTAAATTTTTCTTTTTAGTATTTTAAAATGATTTTAGAAAATACGAGGTCTTAAAAAAATTTGATAATATCCCCACACATCACTTGTCGCATAACATTGGCAGCACTATTTTAATATTCTAATGTTACAGCAATATTGCGAAAATAATAATTTTAATATTGAGGAAATTTTTATAATATTGCTATATTCTCAAGTACTATGAAGAAAATTTAACTTTGATTTTATAAAGTATTTGAATTTATCCACTATGAGAAATGTAGATATTTTTTAGAATAAATTTTTATCATCTAATGAAAACTTCATATAATTTATCAACAGTAAATTATAGAACTAAGTCGATATTGGTTTTTAAATATTTGCTGCTTTATCAACAGCGTTTAGTGAACTATTTGAATTTCTCTCCACTTGATGGCAGCAGCGCTCAATTTAAAATTAAACATTTAATATAATAATAATAATAATAATAATAATAATAATAATAATAATAATAATGTCATCTATGCTCTACAATCGTAAATACTTATATAAGTTTCTTGAGTAAGACTAGGGTTGATACAGGTCAGGGAATTCTGGAAAACTCAAATGTAGAGGAAAAAATATGAAAATTTAAAAACTTAAAAATTTACAACGTATGCGTTTTATAATGTAATATCTTTTCTTAAAAATTGAGAAAGTTGGAATTTTTTCATAATTTCAAAATTTTGTAATTTAATTCCTAGAATGTTTTTCATAATTTTCAAACTTTTACAAAAAAAAAAAAAAAAAAAATGAAAGTTGGGAACTTTTTTCGGAAATAGAGTTTATTGAAGTTAATTTTAGGTATTTATAAATCCCACGTGAATAAAATTCTAATTTATGCTTGTATTATTACTATATTATTAGGTATTTATATTTATTTAAGACTCAATATTTAGTTAATGAATATATAATATTTATTACATTAAAAATTTTTTTTTACTATATTTTTTGAATTAATTTAAGAATTTATACTGCTAAAAATAAGTAAAAAACGAAAAATTTAAGTTTATTAAGTTGTTTTGAAAATAGAATAAAATTACAGAACACCATTTTCAAAAAATTGATAAATATTATGTGAATATATTGTTTTATCAAATTATTAAAGTGCGATAACAATGTATTATGCGATATTTTACTATATAAAGATAAATTATTTCAATTCTAAAACACAATATTTTCCACGTACCCTTTGGTAGTAATTTTGAATAGTTATGAAAAAAAGTATAGTATGATGAAATTTTAAATTAATATTTCTTATCTATTTTAAAGTTTTGAAATATTTTAGTGACAGAGAAAAAAATAAAATTTTATAGCAGAAATTGAAATTATAATTTTCATTTATTATGAAAATATATAATTGAGAAATAAATAAATGATGGAGAAAATCATTTATAAGTTATAAAAAAAAATGTTATATTTGCAAAGTCATGATTTTATTTTTAAGAATGTGAAATTATTATCATTTTTACATTTCTAATAAATGACGTATATATTGCGTTATGAGAAATTGAATCGTATTAGTGATGCAAGTTATAGTTTAATTTACGAATTTGTAAATAATCATTTCACTGGCGTATACATTAGGCAATAATTGAAAATTGATAAGGACACTTAAGTTTAAGGCTTAGCAACATATTATTTAGATCCAATAAATGCGGGAATTCCCGCGATTTAAAAAAAATTTGTCAAAATATTTTTCAATGAAGTAACAATCAAGATGTGTATGTCAATTATTCTTTTACTAAATCATTCTATATTTCAATTTACAACATTTGAAACTTTTCTTCATTTACGGTTAATTGAAAAGTATCAAATTGCAACGAATTGATATCCAAAATATGAATCAAATAAAAAATTGATACAAATTTTAGTCTCAATTTGATACTTTCAAGAAAACACTGTGAATTTACATTGTAATAGAGGAAACAACAATTTAATTAAATATTTTAAAAAATATATTTCTAAAAATATTTTTCCGGAAGCACCTTTCTGTTTATAATTTCTTTTTTAGTACCCGTGCAGAAAATTTGACCGGGCCGTGATCGGGCCCAGACCAGACAAGATCGGGGCCACATCTGGCAACCTGATCTGGGCCTGATCGAAATGAAACAGGGAACCCGACCGGGGCCATGCCAATTTGCCCGATCTTATAGTAATTGTAATTTTCAATAAATTATAATTACACAGAAAATTAAAAGGCATTAAAATAAGCTGCAACGCTTATTATTTTAATCCAATTTTGCTTATTTTCATACCAAAATGGATTAAAATAAGCAAAATTGGATTAAAATAATAAGCGTTGCAGCTTATTTTAATGCCTTTTAATTTTCTGTGTATTTATCTCCAATTAATTTTAATTAGTGACTCACTATTTGCTTATGAATTAGTAAAATTTTACTAATTATTAGTAACTTTTACTAACAATTAGTAAAATTTAAGAGAGATTCACTTTTTACTTTAGAATTAATTAAATTTTACTATAATTCATAAGCAAAACGTGAGTCATTAAATCAATTTAGAAAACATTTTTACTAATTCAAATTTAGAGAATAAAAAATGTCATAAAATGCTATAATTGTATTTTCACTAATTTTTAAAAAAATTTTAAATATGGCAACCAGGTCTGGCCCTGGTCGGGCCCATATAGAAATTTACTAACCCGGGGCCAGAACAAAAAATCGGTAATCGGGATGAAAAGTGTCAATTTCTGCACGGGTATGTATATTTTAAGGAAGAAATTTATGTTATGAGTTTAAAAGTGAATATTTTTTTTACTTTGTTTTTCATTTGTCGAAAAGAATAATATAGTGAAAATCGAGAAGAAAATTTTTATTTGATGATAATTAGATAATTTAATTTTATTATTAATTAAAATTTAAGAAATTATAAATAAATCAGTAATCGGAGCTTTTACATGACACATGCATATTAAACATTGATAATATCTTTTTTTTTATCATATCTGTATAGATTTCAAAGCAAAATCAGTTTCAATGAAGAAACGGTCAGTTGCTTCCTGCAATTGATCAATTAAAGATCTGAATAAACATTAGTGTCTTTCAAATAATATAGTTTAATAATAATAACAACAACAAAAAATAAAGCTGCAGCAGTCTCTCTTTTTCTCATATTTAAGAGCCTAAACCATTCTCTATATAAAACGGATTAGAGTGCAGAGACCCTTGTGCACGCCTCAGGTTTCAACCGGTAATGGAATTACATTCGCCTTTCTCGCCGGAATTGATTTCCATTTGCGAGCAAGCCTCAGTTTTTCAAGAAATGTCCCTGGAACGACATCTCAGAGACACAGCATCTTCCCCGTAGGTTTTCTTTTGATCGTATTTCTTATAACTCTTTTTTTATATATACATACAGGCGTGATTTCTAAACTCTTGAAAAATATCACCAACTTCTTAATACTTGATATAAAGAATTTTCCCTACTACTTTTCTGATCTGCTCAAGTTTTATCAAAGTTTTATGCTTCCGTGTATAAATTTATCTCGACTATGAGGAACTATAAATTTGTCCCAAAACTCGAGAGAAAGAAGTGAAGCTACTGTTTTTCAAAGTTTGACAGGTTCGTGATATCTATCATATCGTCTTTCTCTTTTTTGCTTTCGGCTAAAAATGACTGGAGAATATCTTTGATTTGAGGACAAATAAAATATAAAACCAATAGATATCGAGTATATTTCTCTTTCCTGTTTATTTTTCTTTCTTTTCTTCTTTTTCTATTTTTATTTACTTATCCATTTTTCTTACTTAGAAAAAAAAAGAAAACAGTAAAAATGTTTTCTTCTTAATCTAAAATAATTATATATTCATTGATATTATCTTATTTTTCTGCGAGTTATAATTAAAATAAAGATAAAATTTGATCTTGTAATCTTTCATTTTAATAAATCATAAGACATTTTTAAAAACAGGTTATTTCTTGATTAAGATAAGTAGTTTTAATATGGTGATATAAATTAAAAATTTCATTTTTTCAAAATAATATTATTTAAAAAAATTGTCATTTTAAACACCAATATATAATGTAAATATTTTTAATTATATTTTTTATTTCTTCAATTACATAATTTATACGAAATGATATTTTTTTTTTAAATTTTTAATATATATATATAATATTTTGAACGGCAGTCAAATATGGAAGCTTCTCCCCGTTTATATAATTAATTTCCATAAAGCTCATTAATTAAAACGTGCTTTGAAATAACAGCAGATCCTCAAGAGAGTAGGGAAAATCTCTGCTTTGCATGAATCATTTTACATTTTTAATTAAGTTCCTTTATTGGTAGCAATTGTTTTAATTTCAACAGTGAAACGACTGTTTTCCATTGCAACACATAAATGCACATTCCCCCGTCGATAATTGTTTCGTGTGACAATATTAATTTTTTTTTTTTTTTTTTTTTTTTGTTCATCATAAATAAAGTTTAATTCAAATTGCTATTTTATTCAGAAATAATGTTTCAATTTGGAAAACTACGATAATATTTCCTTGATGTTTTTATTCAAAATTTTTTTAATTATTTATGATTATTAAGCATTTTTTAAAAAAATTTTAAATAATAATATTTTTGCCTTGAAAATTTCGATTGTGCATATAATGATCTGGACGTATGTTTAATATTTTCGGGCAAATGAAAATTCATTGAAAATATAACCGCCACATATAAATAGGGGAAAGATAAATTTAATTCCGAGGAAAAAAAAAATAAGCGGAAACGAATATATGAGAAGATTATAATTATCTTCATCCCGATTTTAGGGTGATTAATTTTTTCAATGAGAATTTATTTTTACATTGAGAATTGACAAAAATATTTTCGTTTGATAAAATAAGTGGTAAAACAAGTTTTTTGATAAGTGCAACAAAATTACTGGAATTAAAAAATTTTTTTTTAATTTAAATGAAATAATCAAAAATTTTGTGCAGTTTATATTTATTTATTTATTCGTTTCAGAAAAGTTTGGTTTTACAATATATAATATCAATCAAATATATTTTGTTGTCAATGAAAAAACATTTTTCTCTGTGTATTTGAAAATATCTTTTATTCCAATATAGAGAAAAAAGAATTTTATATTTTTCCTCGGGAAAGAAGTTTATTTTCTTTTTTTGCTAGAAAAAAAAACAAACAGAGAATTTGTTTTTAAAGGGAAAGCAGTATTCTGGATAAAATTGGTCTTTTGAGAACGACCTTTAGAGCCCTGGATTTACAGGATCCAAAGCCACAGGATAATATCTTCATCCAGCAGCTTGAAAACGAGAGAACGATCCCAGTGTTCGAGAATAAATATGGAAGCATTGAAACGAAGAAGGATTTCAATATTGTAAGGAATAGGATAAGTCGGGAAAAAAGTTTTAAAGAAGAAGAAGAAGAAGAAGAAGTTGAAGAAATAGAAGAAGAAAAGCTTCGGTCAATATCCCTCGATGAAGTTGCTTGGCATGATACACTTGACGATTGTTGGCTCATCATTTACGACTATGTTTACGATTGTACGGATTTTGTCAAGAATCATCCTGGAGGACAGGATATTCTACTCGAGTATGCAGGACGAGATGCCACACTAGCGTTCATTGGCACCGGACACTCCAAAGTAGCCAAACAGATTCTTGAGCGATATCTAATTGGTGAACTTCCTCTTTCGGAAAGAATATTTCGCACTCCAGATGGTGTAAGAATAGTGGATTTTTGATTTTTTTTTTTTTTTTAATCAATCGTGAGCTGGTAATTTTAAAACATATAAACAATCTACATAAATGATACGCATTCCAAAAATTAGAATTATCCAATTAGCACAATTTCAATCATATGTTGACAAATTAATAAATTAGTATTATTTAACCAAATTTTCGTTTGTAAAAAAAAAAAAAATTTTTAACATTCTAATATTGCTGATTTTAATTTTTTTATTTAACTATATGAAATGAGTAAGTTTAATAATAATTTGACAGAGTTTTTAATTAAGAGGATAATATCCCGAAACTTGAAACTTTCGTATAAAATTTTAATACATAGTGAAAAGTTAAAACTTGTAATTGTACTTTTGTAACTTGTATAAAAAGCAATTGTTAGAAGGCGGAACTCTTCAACTTTCCTTCAACTTGGTTTAATGAAAATTTCTCCAAGCTATAAAAATTTGGTTGTATATATAACATTTTTCTAAATTTTATTTATTTGGTTCTAATTTTTGGGAAAAAATTACTAATTTCTCGCTGATTCAGATTTATTTAGATATTATATTTATTTCACATTAATTTCAACGAGAGTATTTATTATATAATAATAATTATTATTAATAGTAACTGTAATATTACTAGTAGAAATTTTTAATAGTAACATTATTGCTTTCATTATTGCACTATTTATTAAAACAGATTACTTTTATTATATATATTCTACATCATCGTATTTATTTTATGAGTGGAAAAATTTTTTACTTAATGTAGAACATATTGTATATATAGATGACTTGACTTTATAATATGAAAGTATATCTAATTTTAATATCACATTGTCTGCAAATATTTTTTAACATTAATTATAACAATTTTCACATTTGTAAAAAAATATAGAAAAATATACTTCTGAATTTGTAATTTACAATCTGTAATTTATTAGATGGTGAGACTAAATATTAAAAAAAAAAATGGTAAAAAAAGTTTATTTTTAAAGTGGCAAAAATGCTTACCCTAGAAAATAAATTATTTATGAATTAAAAAATTATTATATTACCATAACTACAAGAATATGAAAATAAAATTATGGAAACAATTATTTGGAAACAAAATAAGATGATGATATAATATAACTCTTTTTAATTGTTATAAGATAAGAATTATGTAAACTTTCAAGTGTCATTATTAATATTTCTCAAACAAAAGTTGCTTTCGTATTCATGACGTATTGATTCTTTGCACATAACAATATTTATCAATTTTTTAATATTTTTTTACTGATAATATTCTTCTACTGTACAGTAGGTTAATTTATGTATTTTATTTATTTTTATTACTATTTTAATTATTATTATTATTATTATTATTATTATTATTATTATTATTATTATTATATTATTATTATTATGTGGATTACACCCTTAAAAGAAGGCATTTTTTAAATACAATTTTCTTTCTCTGGGTATAGTTATTCTAGTTTTTTTTTACTTTTGGTTTTCTAAATTTTTATATGATTTACTTTTGAAACATTTAGTGAGTATTTTTGATTTCGTCTATTTGTTATTCTGTTCATCTGTACTTCTTAAACTTTTTATTTGACTATTTTCCACTTTTATTTTGCATAATAAATTATTCTATACAGTAGGTATACCAATTCGTAAGATGTTTATGCAGTTTGTGGGTTTTAGTTTTATCTTCAGTGTCTCAACTAACCACAATTAGATTCAATTTCAAAGAGGATTATTGTATTCCTTTTTTTTTTTGTCCTAGAAAAGATTTCGAAATAAGTTTGTAATGTTGGACAAATCCTCTTTACATAATTTTGAAGGTCGCGCGTTAAGAAGATAATAATAGAATGTTTAATTGTAAATTATTTATATATTCTTTTATTTATTATGAAATATTTAAAAATAATTATGTGATATATCAGTTTCAATATTTCCTCGAACGAGGTACTCACCACTACTTTGATTTCATTATTACTAAATAACTTTAAGTTTCGAATTTCCTTGCAATTTTTCTTGACATTTTCTACTTTCACCGTTTCATTAATCTTATTAGAAAGTTTATTATATATGATAATTATATATAGTAGGTGCTTTTTAATAAGAATATTATTCCCTTTTTGTTTAACTTATAAATAAAAAGGAAAAAAAAATGAAAATTTACACTGAAAAAAAAAAATTTATTTGATTTAAATAATCAATTACTTCAATCAAATAATTTTTTTCAGTGCATGAAATATTTTTGAAAAATCTGGTTAAAAAATTCTGCTTTAATTTCCGATTAATTTAACCAAAAATTATTGTTAAATAAAACTAGCATCTGGTAAGTTCAATGAGATCTGTTTTTTCAGTCTAGGAAAAAAAAATTTGCTAACTTATTTTGTTATATAAATAAACAAATAATAACAATTTAAAAAAAATTATAATTAACAGTGATTTGTTAAATCATGGAAGAAATGTCATTTATCACATAAAACTTCAACTACAAATGAAATAAATCATGTAAAAAAGTTATTATAATAATAATTCAATTTACGTTTTCATTGTTAATTGAATGATAATGCTTTGAGTCATTCCAAGTCGAAAACTTATATAATATGATTATCGATAATTTACTGAACTGTTCAGTGGTTAGAATTAGCAGTGCGCGCAAGAATTTCTTGAACTATTCTGCAAGAGACTAATTATTGTGGTCCACTATAGAGGTCGCAATTTCAAACAAACTTTGGTCGTTACCTTGCAGTAGGTATTAAGGATTTATTTCAAAGTAAGATCTATAATTTAATGAGTGGAGGAAAGGGATAATAGGGATCAATTCATTTTACAGCAGTAGATTATATTTCTTGGTCCTCTAAACATTTATAATATACACAACATACAGTACAATATAATATATATATATGTTTTAGCGATACTTTATATTTTCACAATTTTTATTTCCACATAGTTGATTTTCGTTTTTTTTTCTTTTGTTTCTTTGTTAATTTTTTTCATTTTTTTTTTTCATTTTTTTTTTTTTTTTTTTGAATAATCGCAAAATTCTATCTCTCCCCTGCACTTCCATTATAACTCGCAAATTTCGCTAACATGTGCGAACGATGCGCGCGAACCATTACAAAATACCTATACAAAAATACAAGTTCTTCCAAGCTTTTTACGTCACTTTATTACTGAAACCTTATCTCCCACATTTGATAGGATCGCTGATTTTTTTGTTCTTGATAATCTCTGAAAAATTATCTTTCGATATATTTTAATATTATCTTTATACGATTTATCCGTTGTACAACTATTTTTTTTACAACTATTTTTTTTTATAATTATTAAATATCTACACAGAAAACTTAAAGTTTTTTTTTCTTTTTTTATTGTTATTGTATATGCGGAAGTTGAAAATTTCACTGAAAGAACAAATTAAAAAGATATTTATACACAAAAATTGTCTGTATAATCAGGAAAATAATTTTTTGTTTGTTTGAGGATTTCTATTTTTTTGTATTTTTTTAACATTATACACGTATACAAAGGATTTATTAGGTCGATTTTTTTAAATAATTTATGTTTTCCTGATTAAAATTTATTATTGAATACAAAAAAAAACTTTTTTTCTATTCACTGAGAAAAAGAATTATTTGTTTCAAATATAAAGATCAGTTTAAAAGTTTTTGTTTAACCCAACACAGTTTTTATGTTTAATTTTAATATATAGAAAATATTTTCTACTTTGGCTTAAAATTATTATTTGTTTGAATAATTATGTTTGATTCAAACATATTTTCTGTTCGGCTTAAACTGAAAATATGTTTAAAATTTTTATGTTTGATTTAAACTTAAAAATTTATTATGAATAAATTGAAATTAACCATAATTTATGTTTAAATTAAATATATTTTCACATTGAACCAACCAGAGAATATATTTAATTTAGACATAAATATGTTTGACTGTATAACAAAGCTATTTTAAGTTTGGGTTAAACATATTATGTTTGAATCAAACATATCGTTTTCTCAGTGTTGGCACAATAAACTTTTACAAAGTATTTTGCAAAAATATCATATAGGAAGACTTTCTTTTTTGTCTGTAAGGTAAATTAGTTTCTAGGTTTTAAAAACAATAATAATAATATATAAGATTAGAGAATTCGGAACGAAAAAAAAAATAAAAAGTTACAATTTTATTAGTTATTTCTTTGAACGCCATTTTACAAGTACGTCGTCCCTCTCTTAATAATTCCGTATACATTTAGTTGTAGACAGAACAGCCGCTCATAAATTGACGTTTATTAATTATCCTGCAATACAGTCATCAATAATGCGCCTGCATTTGCTAATTTCACGTAAAACAGTACCTTAATTACGAGTTTCCGAAAAACATCAGGTTTTGATCTACTGGAATATTATTCATTTTGCAACATGACACTTTCATTAATAATATTAATTCTTATTAAACATAGGACAGAAATTAACGTTGAATATCCCTTTTAAATATGAATCAATTTTTTGTTCATTAAATGTAGGTATTATAATTAATTTGTCATTAAAATTTATTATTAATTTCGAGTGCAGAAATTAAATTTAAAAAATTGTTGGTATATTTAATTATATATAATTTAATTATACATTGAAATAAATATATATCCTCAAATTGAATGGAATATTCTTCTTTTTGAAATTTTCATTCTCTAAATAAATAAATATTTTACTACATATAACTCAAACAATAATTATTATGTTAAAAATTATAATATTATTTGAAAGGAAATTAGTTAACCACAAAAAAAAACAACTTTTTTTGAACAAGAACCATAAAATTTGCACTTTCTAAATGGTTGCAATAAAAATAAAAGAAATTCGCCGATATTGAGAATATATTTTTGTCATTAATGTATCTGATTAAGTAAATTATTTATTTTTAATGATTTATTTATTTTCTATAGATTATTGAAATATTTGTTTCTTTTTCAAGTAAATAATATCTTTTTATTGTTAAATTATTACCTTTATGTCTGTTTTTTTTTAATAGAAGAAAATAAATAAAATTTTAAAACATGAACGTTTAACGTATACGTGTTTGATCACGTCATAAGATTTTAGAACTTTCGCGCTCTTTGGCAGTTCTAGGTCGGTTTTTTTTTTCTCTGAAGTGAACGATTGTTTTCGTCGGTTTGACATTATATTTATTAGTATTATGTAAAATACACATGAGATGGTCGAGACATTCCTATTTCATTTTACGGCGATCAGAATTTGATTTATTTAAATGTTTGTATTTTTTTTTTCTTTTCGTTAATAACGTATAATAAGAAAATTTGTGTGTGCGCTTAGACAAGACATTGTATAACGATATCCAGTCGTAAAACACTTTTCTTTATTGATTAAAAAAGTATATATTATTGAAAATAAAAATTTGTCAAAGTATTTTTGGTAATTACATAATATTTTTAATAATCTGCTGAAAAAAAATTATAATCGTTATTTATTTATTTCGTGAAATTTAAAAAATATTGTTCGAACAATAGAAAAATTCAAATCCGATTCAAGGATTGATTTTTTGCTCGTGAAAATTATACTACAATTAAAATTGGATATAATTCTGAAACGTTAGAATTCAAATAATTACTATCACGTTTCGTATTTATATAGGATTGTATTTTCTGTTTTTTTTTTTTTTCGTTTTTTTTTTGTTTTTATTAACAGATATTTTTTATAACATTTCATGTGTTATTAATAGTTTCTATTGCATTTCTTTGTCTGTGATCCTTAATTTTTAATTTATAATATACTTTCAAATTAATTGCACGTAACTTTATACAAGAAGCATAAAGTTGAATGTATTTTGAAAAATGAAATTTAAGTTTTTATAGTTTAATATAATAATTAAAAAAAATTTTATAATTTTAAAAATTCATAATTAAAGTATAGTGTAAATTTGAATGATATAATTAAATACTTTATATGTTCAATAATTGAGTTCTATTCGCATAGTTTATATAATTAATTAAAAAGTGATGTAAAAGATTTGGATCATTATATATCAAATTATAAATAAATAGCCTTTGTTTTCCAATAGATAGTATGAATAAAAATGAAACAAAGAATAGTAATATTTTATATCTCTTGCTGAGAGAATCATAGAAATAGTAGAAAACTGTATGGATGTTATAAGTTTCTTTTTTTTTATATAATTGAAACTGTATTTTATTGTAGATGAACTTTTCATTTATATATATAATATATAACTTTAACATGTATAAATAATGAATAACAGTCTATAGGGAAGAAGTCTGTGAGAATAATTCAATTTTGCGAGTTGGATGAATATTGTTTTATTCATCCAATATATGCACATTGAATATAATTATTGAGACATTATACTGGTAAATGGCGAGTGTTTCTATTGTTTTATGTACATTTATGGTCCGCGGAAGACTAATTGAATGTGCTAAAAGGCTTAGTGTTGACTTAATATTCTCAGGGGCCAATTCTACAAATTTTTAATAAAGCCACTAAAAATATATAAATATATATTTTTTTTATGTACGTTAAAAAATTCTGAAAAATATTTTCTCATTCTTTTTCTTTTTTCATTATCATCATTTTGAATTTTACATAAAATTTTAACAAAATTTTATTTATTAAAATATGTAATAATTACTCGCAATGACCTATAATTTACAATAAACTGGAAAAAAAATTCTGATTAAACTATATTTAACTTTACATTCTACCAGAATTCTGGTTAAATATACCCAACCAAAAGTTTTTTTCAGTGAATAGAATTAGTTTAAGAAAATTTTTTTTTCTAATTGCAATGTACAATATGGAACATACTTTGCTATATATGATTATAAATTAAAAATAGCAGAAAAATATTTTAATTTTCTTTAATTTAAATTTACTGTCTTTTATTGGCATTAAAAAAAAAAAATTTTAGCTATGACGTTACAATGAGTATTTATTTATTGAAAATTATAGACTTTATTTACATTTTTCCATTAGAGAATAAAAAAATGAGATGCTTCGCCCCTGAAATTGAAAAATTGTTTCCTACACGAATAATCAGAGACATTAATTAATTTTTAGTTAATAGTTAGATAATGATTTTTCCGTTAAGTGGGAAAAATTATGTTTCTGATTTGTTGCACATAGTGCGATACTCTTTGAATATTGTTGAGGTTTTCATTTTTTAGAAATAAGATTTTTTGGGGAGATCAGCTGGAGATGAATCTTGAATTTATTTCATTTTTTTTTATCAATGGACGAATATTGTACTTATTATTAGGTACCTCTTGAAACTATATATATGCCTAAGCAAAAATTTCTGTCAAATGCCGATATTGACAACAGGCGAAATCATGCACCAATACTGGCAGTATTTTCCAATACTGTGCCAGTATTATTGAGTCAGTAATGGCAAACCAGTACTCGGTCAGTATTAATTCAATACCGAATGCCAGTATCCAGAAAAATTTTGAAAATTTACCTCCATGAAGTTGGCGTTGACGCTTAGCGCCGAAAATTATTTTTCACAGGACCAAAAATGTCAAATTATTTTTTTTGTTTTAAAGATTTTCGGTCCAAATATGTAATGCCTCAGGAAATACTTTTTAAGGTATTATGTGAAAATCTTTTTTAAAAATGATTTGTTATTTTTGGTCCTGTGAAAAATAATTTTCGACATTGAGCATCGACGCCAACTTCATAGACGTGAAAATTGTGTATTTTTGTTGGTTAGAAATTAAATTTAGATACATATTTTTTAAAAATTATTTTAATACTTCTTTTCGATTACTGCAATGCGTTCGTTAACGGAATTATGAAATTTAAATTTAATATTAAAACTTTTTAATAAAAGAAATACATAATAATTAATGAAGTTCTGAAATTATTTTTCTTACATTAAAAAAATATATTTCAATCAAATAAACTCTATTTTAACCAATAATTTCATTCAATTTCGGTAATTTAAACAAATACAAATAAATATATATATATTTTATAATATTTGAAGAAATTATTTGAATAATAAAATAAAGAGTAAAATGTTAATATAAAAAAATAACAATTTAAAAGTTATTATAATAATTTATTATTATTAATAGTTAATGTTATGAGTCGGTTCTTCGATCCAGCTGCTCAATTAATGTGAAAAGCAAAAAGAACCCTGAATTTTGAATATATATATCAGTGCTGGCTTATTACTGGTTACTATAATTTTGCCCGCACTGGAAAAATACAGAATTACTGCTAAATTCCAGTATTGAACCAGTACTAAGCCATTACTAATGACCAGTATACTAATAAACATTATCATCCCAAACATATGCCAGTATTGGTTCAATATTGGTGGGTCAGTACTTTGCCAGTAACTGCCAGTACTGGTGCACCACTGCGCCGGTTGTAAATTTTTGCTTGGGTGATGACAAAGAGACCTTTTTTCTAAATGAATTATCGTTGTTCTTTGGGTTATTTTTTTATTTCTCCAGTAAATAATTGCTTTTTATTTTATTGTTTTTCTATTGCTTTCGTAAAGCTAGATTGTTATACAAGGGAAATCGGGTAAATTTTTTTATTTCAGTTCAGGGCAATTGAGCCAGTAGTAAATTCAAAAAAAAAATCCTGTTAGGCTGTTGTTTTTCTCAGTTAGCTTTCAATTCCCAATACGATCATATTTTTCCAGCAATTCTACTTTTTTTATATATATTTCTCAAAAGTAAATGTGTTGCTTTGACAAGAAATTTTTATCAACTTAAAAATAAATTTTGATTGATCTCAATTAAAAAGTTAACTTGAAAAGATTATTTGTACTTAAACTATTTTTTTAAACAAAATGAAAATACATCAAAAAACGATTGTAATTATTAAAAACAAATTTGTTTGGAAAATATATATAGATTTTACTTAATAAACAGTGTTTCTATTTAAAAAACGCAAATATTTTGATTTAACAAACTTTATGTGGTTTAAAATAAATCTAGGGTAATTAGTTTTTTGATGTAAAAAAAGTAAATGTTGCCTTTAGTAGAATTTAAAAATGAACTTTAAAAATAAAGTAATTTTTCAACTTAAAAAATAGTTTTCCCCTAATAAAAATCTAATTTTCCTATTAAAAAAATATCTTCTTAAAATGTTCTACTTAAAAGTAAATTTCTTTTTTAAGAAAAAACCAATTTTATCTTAATTTAAAATAAAATAACTATACTTCAAAAAATAAGTAGAATTGGATTCGGTTATAGGGAAATAAGAAAAAATCTCTTTTTTCTTTTTTTAATAAAAAAAATTCCTTCTTGACAACCTCATTTTGCTGGTACGCTTTTAATTTCTAATTTTTAGAATCATTGTGTTTTTTTTCTCTTTTTTCAGTATATATGTAGATTCATGTATTTTTTATTAATATCAATAATATTTGATTGTTCTGATTATTTTTACCTAAACATATTTTTTGACTATATTAATATAGCTAAAATCTCCCCTCTTGTACATATGTGCTAGTTTACGTGTAACATGAGTTAACATCGACTTGACGTACTTACTATACATATGATTTTTTTTCATTATTTGAATAAGTACGTCTGAATTTCTTATTTTATTAGTTAAATGTTTGTAAACCATTGAAACATTCTTTATACTTATAATTTGTAAATTTTTCTCTATCAAATATATTACACGCACAAGAAGAGCAGAATTTATTAGATTTTGTTGTATAGAAGTTATAGGGGTATTGTGAAGATCATTTCATCTTCTTTTTTCTGTTTTTTTTTTTTTTTTTGATCGAAAATGAAATATGAATGTGACGTTCACACCTTTCAACGATTGGGAAATATATAACGAGTAACGTGGTATAGAAACTATGGAGGGTTTTTTTTTTTTTATTTTTTTTTAAGTGCCAAAGTGGACCGAGGCCAAAATATTGTTTAATGTCAATATAATATAAAGGCCTATTTATTTTCCTTTAATTAATCGTTGACAATATTCAGTTCGTTTCTGTTTATAAATTAGGCAATATTAGGATCGTCAGTGCTTTATTTTAAATCGATTTTTACTAATATCTGATAAATCCGATTCACTTTGACTCGCTGATTATTATATAATTGCCTAAATTTTCATGTCATAGCAATCTTGTTATGTTTCTCAATTTATAGTAAATAAAAAGAAAAAGTAGAGCATTTTTATATTTGAATTTTAAGACTTTTTAATTGAATTAAAAATGATCGATTATAAAAAGTCTAATTTTGCTGTAATGATTAAAGAATATATAAGTAATAATGATTTGTTTTGAAAAAAATAGGATTACTATGACTGACACATTTTATTGCTCAATAAGTGATGAATTGATATTGTTTTTAATATACATATAAGAAACATGACACGATAAACCACGTTTAAAATTACTGTAAACTAGAAAAGTGATGAGGCAAGATAGATCGAATAAACGTCCGCATATCTGACACGTGATAACCAGGAAATATTTGGAAGACTTCTTTTTCCTATTCACATGGGAGATTTAAGACGTCTGCGGAATATCCCTTGAGTACAGAATGTCATTTGAAATATCCCCGCGGTGAAGATGATGGAAACCCATTTTTAAGGTTATTCTACCACTTTTGATAACACGCTGAGATTGTGAAATGACCCATTCTTTTCATCTGAGAACGTCACACTGAAAACGAATCTCTTCAACAACATTTTTTATTTTCCAAAAAAAAAAAGCTTTATATCTTTAATTTTTAAGGATCGAGTTTTTTTTTTTAAAAAAGTATCTTGTCATCACAAAGTTCTTTTTTCATTATTTTAAACAATAATAACTTGCAATGAAATTATTTTTCATTATTTGAAATTGCATTTAATTATAAATAAATTAACATTTGATGTCAATTAATTTTTTTTGATTAACGAATATATATATTTGTCAATAAAAAACATGTTTTCACACATCTACAATTTTTGTTTCAGTCTTTATTCACGTCATTATATTGCTCTGCAATCCCGTATACTTATATATATTAACAAAGAGCAATAATAAACGACAATCGTCTATTATTTTTGATTTTGTTTTTTTAAATAAATATTTTTTTTAATTTAAAAAATTGCGCATATTTGAATTGTTTTCAGTGTTTCGTTTTCGAAAATTATGTTGAAATATCAACAACTTTAATAATATGACGTTATCATCTTACTTTCTTTAAAATTCCTTTCTTGCATACACAATAAATTATTATCATCATTGTGTGTGTGAGTGATAAATGTGAATGATTTCTTACCTCTGAAATAAAAATTCATCCTCTTGTCTTTCACTCACTAATATATTTTTTTATAATAATCGATAATATTGAAAAAAATATATTTTGTTTAAAGTAGATTTACTTTGCCTAGTAAAATATTTCCTAAATTCTAACTATATAAATATATATATATATATTTTTTAATAGACAATTGTGTAATTTATACAAACTGTAAAATAGTTGGTTCAATTATTTGAAAATGTGCGCGTCGTTTTTATTGTACAGCTCTAGAAAATAGATTTCTTTAAAAATTTTAATATTAAAAATAAAATTACTGAAAATAAGTATACAAAAAGAAATATAAAATAAAACTATAAAAAATGAATTGATTATGTAAACAAGCAATTAATCAATTTAAAATATAATCTTATTTTTAAAATATCTTTTAAAATTAAAATTTCCAAAATACAGAATTTAGAATAACAATTTTGAAATTGAGTAAAAAATTGTCTTTTTTTTCTATTTTATTGAAAACAGGAAGATGAAATTTATTTCAAGATGAAAAAATCGAGTCACTTGTGCCTTATCTATGAGTTGATCAGTAACGATATTCACGTTGTACCTAATATGGTTCGAGTAAAGTTTTCTCGAAGTAGAAAAAGTGGCTTCATATATAATCTCGCCCATATATTTCAGACACGAGATCTCTCAGAAATATGAAGCGTGATTCTGGACCTGCCAGTAAACACACACACACACACACACACACACACATACACATCAGACATATACGCACGCAAACATCCACCCACTTGAAATTTTCGAGTTTTCTCGATTTTTAATTTCCTTATTACAAAACTCATTTTTTCCCAAAATTTCAATTTTGAAATTGGGAAAACCATAGAGTGAAAATCGAAAGCGAACAGTGCGCGCCGGAAATCGCGATATAATCGCTTTAAAGAACTCTCCACAATGTAACGAAATTTTTTAAAACATTTTTTTTTCTTTTTTTTTGTAATTCTCACAATTTTGCTTACATAAGACTGCAGAATGCCACTCCATTGTCAATTGCTGATTGAATTGCAGTAGTTTCCATGCAAAAAGCAGCATCATCATACATTGTCGAAATCCGCTGTTGCTGAGCCCGACTTTCACTCTGCGATCTGAAAATATACAAAAAAAAAAGAAAAATTATTTTATTATAAATAACTGTACAGCTGTTAATTGTATTAACTAATTCAATTGCGCCTGTTCGTTCCTTAAATGAATTAGTATAACCGAGCAATTCCATGGTAAGTGATCGTGGAAATTTCTTTCGGGTTAGGGATTTAAATGAAACGTAGGGTATTTGTTCTTTAGAATGTAAGCAAACAAATTGTAAAGGTTTTTTTGAAAAATATTAATAAACATGGGAGATATACAACATTGAAATTTTTAAACTTTTTTTTTTAAATTGCATAACTTTTGATGGGTAAAATATATCAAGGTCCACTAGGTCTTAAATTCTTCGTAAATAGACACACATTTTACTAAAAAAATTGCTAAACAAAGTTACTGTAAGATTTTATTGTTGTGAAACAAAAAAAATTTAATTTTGAGTTTTTAAAAAAACACCATTTTTTTTGGTTTTTTGTTTCAAATTTTTTTTGTTTCAAATTTTTTTTGTTTCACAACAACAAAATCTTACAGTAACTTTGTTCAGCAATTTTTTTTAGTACAAAGTGTGTCTATTTGCGAAGAATTTAAGACCTAGTGGACCTTGATATATTTTACCCATCAAAAGTTATGCAATTAAAAAAAAAAAAGTTTAAAAATTTCAATGTTGTATATCTCCCATGTTTATTAATATTTTTCAAAAAAAACCTTTACAATTTGTTTGCTTACATTCTAAAGAACAAATACCCTACGTTTCATTTAAATCCCTAACCCGAAAGAAATTTCCATGATCACTTACCATGGAATCGCTCCGTTTTGACTAATTTTTGGTCAGAAATTAGCCCCTATTGAAAATCTTCACATCAAGGGAATCCACATGCCACGGAGAAAAATGGGATTGCTGTGCAAACAATTTTTGGATTGTTGTCAGTAGAATTGTTGATATTACAATTCGAAATGTTAATATTACAATTCGGATTGTTGTAAATACAACACGAATTTTTTATTATCAGATTTGTTCAGTTTGCAATGCCATACAGTTTAAGAAGCAAACTCTCTGTCGATTGCTGATGGAACAATCCGGATTTGTTCTACTGACAGGTTTATTGTTCCATGTCATCGTTTATCGGTAAGTTATACACGGTTACTATTGAACATAACCTCACCTTAAAAAATACATAATGTATATTAAATATTATTTAACAACAAATTTCAACTCAAATTAATTTTTTGGTTTCAGGTCAAAGAATTCGATTCAGAAGCTGCATGTTCCATAGATTTTAATGCAAATGAAACTGGTGATATGACCTGCGGAAATCTGCTATCGATTATTTTAGAAAGCGGAAAAACTGATCAAATTGTATTAGATGGATCAAAGCTTTGTTAATACAACAAATTGTATTGTCGATTTAAGAATTTTTTTTTGTTATTTCAACTGTTTCATAACAATTTTCTTTGTTCATCAAACAATTGTGTTTGTTCACCTAACAGTCCGAATAGTTTTAATAACAATCCCATTTTAACAATTTTTTTTGTCCCAAAAACAAATAGAACTGCTGGTTCTATATTGACAATCAGGAATTGTTGTGTGGACTTAATTTTTAGTAACCACAACAATTCTTTTTTCTCCGTGGCTGCCTGTTGAAAAACACTATTTTCTTTGTTTACAGCACAGTTTTTATAATTTGTCTATTGTGGAATTGAAAAAATAGATTTTTTTCCGTGTAAAAAAATTAAATATCATTATAAGAAAATGGTCAATATGCATAACATCTCATAATATCATAAAACTTATGATCTTGAACCTGTATCGATCAAAAATTATATAGGTAGGGGAGACCGGGGCTGTTTGGCGCACTTGAGTTTATTCAAAAGTGTTAAGTTACATTAATTTTTCTCTTTATTCTGCTTAAAGTAGTTGATAAACTGTACCTAAGTTTGTACAAAATTTCATTAATATTCATTAATTATTGTGGAGTATAAATTAAAATAACTGATTTTGGCACTCCAAAGTAATTTTTTAACCTCTTCATTTTTTTGTGATATCTCTTTAAAAAATTCATTTTAGAAGAGCTCAAGTATTAAGTTTTGAGCTCTATACATTTGTTATTAAGAAACAAAAAAAATTTTTTGATTTATATTAACAGTTTTTATAAAAAATTAATAAATATTTCAAAAGTACATTCGGGGTTAGGTGGCGCGGTTATCTGAAAATTTCGTTAAATATTAATAAAATCAAGTTGATTATATGAAATTTACACATTAATAAGCACCAATAACAATCCTATTCAAAAAATTTAACCGAATAATGGTTTTTAAATATTCACAGTGTTATTATAAAAAAAAATATATTTTTTGGTAATTTTACGATTTCATTTAATTTAAATGAAATTTTCTAATTTTTATATTTATAATAATTTTATTGTAAAATTACAGTACACGACTTATTTTGTTAAGTCTTATATTATTTAAACTTTAAATCATATAATTTAATTAATTTCACTGCTGCGCCACGCAACCCCGTGCCGGGGTTGCTTGGCGCACTTTGCACAGCTTCAAATAAAGTGGTATAAAAATAAAAGTATTAAATATATTTCAACTTTCTTTCTTTTTTTTAATTAAAGATGATATGTTACAACAAGTTTTCTATACAATAACTTTTTAAAAAAAGCAAAAAAAAAGCGAGTTACACAACAAAGAGTAAAAAGTGCGCCAAGTAACCCCGGTCTCCACTACTATGTATAATTTCTATAGAAGAAGGCACGTTAAATATTGTGGCACATACACACGTCATATAATACTTATTGGAATTTTTTAATATCATAGATGATTACGTAATAAATTCTCTTTTTTTCGTGTTCCTCGATTTTTCATATGTTCATACTAAACATAAAACTTGTTAGAAAATGTTTACGTAGCAGTTACTTTTAAATTATTAAATTTATAGCATGCCTGATCATAAATTTCTTCATACACCGAACGTATAAAAATTGCTTCTCAAAGTAATAATACGGTTGAAAATCAATTTAAAAAACTTATTTGGAAAAAAAATATAAATATTTGTATTCAAAAATAAAATTTTTTTTTAAGTATCTTTTTTTCAGTTTCTGAGTAACTTGTTATGCGATTGAATTTCATATCTAAAAGTTATGAAGTTTAAAACGTGTGTAGTTGATGAGACGCTTTGAGTATCAAAAAAAAAAGTTTCGCATTCACAGAAATAGAATATTTTAAATATTAAAAAGTAAATTTTTCTATTTTGTAAAAATAATTTAAATTTATTTAATGAATCTCTTCAAAAGTATATTATAATTAATAATTATTTATTTTCCATATAAAAAAATATTCCAACTCTGTTAAAATTTAGCTTTCAATTAATCTTAAATTTATAAATGTCATTTTCAGAAGCAAAAACATTTGCTCAAAAAGTACTGAAAAGTGTGTTATTCAGTGTTATGATCGTTACACGTATAGCAGAAGCTTTAAAATGATTTATTGTCAGGGACAGAACTTTTTGGCGGACCATTTATTTCATCTAGGGGTAACATCAATCCTTTATCACTCAGTTGATAGCAGCCAAAAAAAAGAGCATTTATTTTACGAAAATCATGGGAATCAGTCTTGAATGACATTTTGGCTTATTTTAAAATGACAAAAATGATTTAAACTCTTCTGACAGCCCTCATAAAACATGAATACTTTGTACTCTCTACAGTTTAATGTTTCATCTCTTTGTTTTATGACAATGAGTTAGATAAAATAATCCAATTCGCTGGTGAAAATGACTTTTTAATGTCCTCCATTTCTACTTTGATGTTTCACATTTTCATTACGTTATCTTTTTATTTTACTACTATTTTATGATTTTTTATGTTTGTTTTCAAATAGCCCTTAATTAATTTTATTAAATACTTATAACCCTTTTTTTTTGTTCATGAATATAAAATGAAGTAATAAGCAATGTAGGTCGCATATTTTTCATGATATTTATAATTAAAATTTTCTTTTGTGATTTTATAAGTAAATTTTAATTAATTTGAGAATAAGATTTTTAAAGTAATTTAATATCTTCTCTAATCTTTGATACAAAATTTAAAAAAATTAGTCTTTCATTCCTTTAAAATTGTTTTATAAATTAAATTTAAAAAAAAACTATTTTTTTGTATGTAGTAGCAACTACATTGAAAGAAGAAAAATAGGTTATTTTATGCTTGAACATCAAAATGTAAATTACGTTGCATTCCATGAAAATTAATGTACATATGTAAATTCAAATTATAATGTCTTTTTGTAAATTTTGTTACTATCTTTTCCAGTAACGTAACTCAACCAAATATATCATGTTTCGTTATTTCATTTTTGTTTCATTACACGTTTTTTATTGCTTGATGCTGAATCGTAATGAAGATACTAGACTGGGAAAATGAAATTGCGAAAATAAAAAAAAAAGAATACGAAAAAATGAAGCGAGATATAAATTTTAATCTGTTTACAATGGATAATAATAATAATAATAATAATTATAATTTTGTTTTTATTTAGTCATTTATTTATTACAATATCAGTAAAATAAAGAAAAAAAAAAGATTGAATCTTAAAGAAGTGTTTGTTTTCGTAAGTAAAAAATTATTATCAATATCAAATATAATTAGGTATTAAAAAAATTAAATTATATATAAATTTAGACTTGTTCAATGAAAATTTATTTACTTTCAAAATCGGAAATGAAATTAAACGAATTTTAAAACACGTAGGTTTTTAAAACTTATATTTAATTCAAACAATAGTTGTATAAATGAAATTGAAGTGTCATAAATTTTGAAAAGAAAAGATCGTCTATCCTTTCTTTCATATTACAAAATCCTCTCACATATATGGAGGAATAAAAAAATTCAATAAAAAGGAATAACTTCATTGGAAAAAGAAAATTTTCAAAGTCATCCTTTAATGAACCTCGTTTCGAATCGAGAAGATAAATCCTCTTTTTATATTGAAAAATATTTGCATTTTCAAAGGAATTTAGAAAAGGATTTTCTTGAAATTTAAAAATATTTTTTCTGTTTTTAAAAAACGCTGATTACGAATTTAATAACAGATTCGTAATTAGCAACTCCCCCCCCCCTAAGAAAAACTTTCATAGCGAGTTTTAAGCTAATCTGAGATGAATTTAAAATTTTAAACTGAATTCCGCCATTTTGTATTTTCAAGATTTTATGTAAAATTCAGAATTAGCAATCATGAAAATTTCCGCCTAACGAGTTTCAAGTGTACTCAATGAATTACAAAAAATATTCGCTATATTGGATCAGACATTTTGGATTTTTTAACCCCTTGACTGTCGATGGCCCATACATGTCCAAAAAAAGTTGTGCCACCTTTGTGATTCTGGACATATATATGAGAGATTCTTTTTCAATCGCCCCAGCCCAAAAAGTCAATGTTCTGGGATTGGCTTCATACTTTGGTAAATTGTTGTCCTATATGATAGTAATAAATCCCTAAAATATAAACTAATTAAAAAAATATTTGTAGAAAGTAGAGGGGGTTGAAGTTTTGACGTTAAGGGTAACATTGTCATTTTCAAATCCGTTTAACTATGACAAAAGTTAATGGATTTTAATTTATCTATAATGAATTTTATTGCATTTTTCACGTACTTTTCAAAAATGTATATGAAATTTAAAAAAAAAAATTTTTAACCCCTTTTTTTTCCAAATCAACCCTTTTTTTTCGATTTTCACCCCTTCGGGTATTTTTTTTTTTTTTTTTTTTATTTTCATTGGAAAGCTGAGGTTTTTTCCGATGAGCTATGTAAATATGAAAATGGGACAACAATAATTTTGTGAGAAACAGAATATTAAAGTAGGCGGTGCCGATAAGGGTGCCGTTAAGGGTAACATTGTCATTTTCAAATCTGTATAACTATGACAAAAGTTAATGGATTTTAATTTATCTATAATGAATTTTATTGCATTTTTCACGTACTTTTCAAAAATGTATACAAAATTTAAAAAAAAAAAATTTTGACCCCTTTTTTTTCAAAATCAACCCTTATTTTTCGATTTTCACCCCTTCGGGAATTTTTTTTTGTTTTTTTTTTATATTCATTGGAAAGCTGAGGTTTTTTCCCATGAGCTATGTAAATATGAAAATGGGACAACAATAATTTTGTGAGAAACATAATATTAAATTAGGCGGTGCCTATCTAAATCCTCAAAGATGATCTCCAGGTACACCCCTTATCGGCACCGCCTACTTTAATATTCTGTTACTCACAAAATTATTGTTGTCCCATTTTCATATTTACATAGCTCATCGGAAAAAACCTCAGCTTTCCAATGAAAATAAAAAAAAAAAAAAAAAAAAAACCAAAGGGGAAAAAAAAAAAAAATAAGGGTTGATTTTGACAAAAAAGGGGTTAAAAATTTTTTTTTTTAAATTTCATATACATTTTTGAAAAGTACGTGAAAAATGCAATAAAATTCATTATAGATAAATTAAAATCCATTAACTTTTGTCATAGTTAAACGGATTTGAAAATGACAATGTTACCCTTAACGTCAAAACTTCAACCCCCTCTACTTTCTACAAATATTTTTTTAATGAGTTTATATTTTAGGGATTTATTACTATCATATAGGACAACAATTTACCAAAGTATGAAGCCAATCCCAGAACATTAACTTTTTGGGCTGGGGCGATTGAAAAAGAATCTCTCATATGTCCACATTAGAAAAAAAAATACTAAACATAATTAGAATTGAGTGTCAATGTGTATACTAAGGTTTTCGGGGTCGCTGAATCCGAATTTGAGGTCAGAATTAAAAAATTCAAAATGTCGGACCCAAAGTGGCGTCCAAAAAATTTAAAAATTGACTTGATTTTCATAAAAATGGTTTCTTTAGGGTTTTTGGGGTCGGTAAATCTAAATTTGAGTTCAGATTTAAAAAATTCAAAATGGCAGACCCAATATGGCGGAAAAATTTAAAATTTATTCGATTCGTTCAAAATTTGATACTCGAAAGTTTTTGGGGTTGCTGAATCCACATTTGATGTCAGATTTGAAAAATTCAAAATGTCGGACCCAATATGGCGGACAAAATTTTAAATTGATTCGACTCATTCAAAATTTGGTACTCGGGGGTTTTTGAGGTCGCTGAATTTAAATTTGAAGTCGGATTTGGATTCAGCTACCCAAAAAACCGCCAAGTACCAAATTTTGAACGAATCGAATCAATTTTAAATTTTTCCGCTATATTAAGTGGCCATATTGGGTCAGTCATTTAAAATTCTTAAAATCTGACATCAAATTTGGATTTAGCGACCCATAAAATCCCCGAGTACCAAATTTTGAACGAATCGAATCAATTTTTCGGACATATTGGGTCCGCCATTTTGAATTTTTAAAATCTGACATTAAATTTGGATTCAGCGACCCTAAAACCACCGAGTACTGAATTTTGAACAAATAGAATCAATTTTTCCGACATATTGGGTCCGCCATTTTGAATTTTTAAAAATCTGACATTAAATTTGGATTCAGCGACCCCAAAAACCTCCGAGTACCGAATTCTGAACAAATCGAATCAGTTTTAAATTTTTCCGCCATTTTGAAGTTTTAAAATCTGATCTCAAATTTGGATTCAGCGACCCCAAAAACCTTTAATATGATGATATAAAATTTTTTTGGAAACTGTTTTTTTGGACCGTTTTGGGCCCACAAACGATTTTTCTGCTCGACTGCGAAGGGATTTTTGGCTTTAGAATTTAAATCATTGATCTTAAGAAATATTTAATTAATTATCCAAAGTAATTATTTTGAAATGACTTCGAATAATATATTCTTGATTATCAAACAAAAAAAAATTATTTATACTGTGAAATATAAATATTAAATTTTTTTTTTGTATTTTATTTAAATTTAGAATATAATATTTTCAGTGTCGGAAATATCGCACATTTTTCTTTTTGTGATAAAATCGGAGAGATTTCCGCATGGTTATATGTAATGTCCGGGGAATGGAGATGAATTTATCATTTGCATTCCCTTCTGCTTTTTATCTTGAAGACCCACCTGGGAGGCATAGCGCGCGCTCTTTGCGTCCTCATCGCCTGTTTCCTGAGGGCTTGCTGGTTAACAGTCGTTGAATGTCGCACTAATGGGAATTGGTGAGAGACCTGATCTTGGTTTGCTGCTTGCACCAAAGTCAGTTGTGTTAGATATTCAGTGAGCTCTGATTGGCTAGCAAAAAGATCCCTGCGCGCCTGCTGAATGCCGACTGTTGAATCTGACCACGGGGGCGGTGGTGTATGTGAACGGGATATCATCGGATAGTTGTGACAAAGATATTCCTCATACGACGGTGGCAATCCTCCCTGTAATCACAAAAAACATCGCACATATGAAAATGAAAATTCCTTTCCATTCGAGATAAATAAACTTAAATTATTATTATTATTATTAAGCAAAATGTGATGTCACTTTTTGGGGTTGTTGAACAAAACATATGGGAACAAAAAATTGTAATTCCCATTATTCAAAATTGTTTCTTCTTTGATAAGAGTTTAGGTTAAATTAAAATTTATTTAATTTATTCATTTCAGTTTAATATAATATTTTAATATGTTAAAATTTATTCACCATTATAACCATAACAAATGTAATGAAAGAAATAATAATAATGATAATAATGCCTTTAATAGGGTGCATAATTATTCCATAATAATAATTAATTAGAATTTTTTAATTTAAAGAATTCTATTAGATATAATTATTTTTTAGACGAACTTTCATTTTCCGATATTTAAGGAAATCTTTTTCTAAATTAATTTTTACATAACAAAATTTATAGGTATCAAACTTTTATTTGGCAGAATTTTTATTTCACAGAATCACTTTTTATCCAACTTTTTATTCAATACAAAAAATCAATCAGAAACAATCGTAAATATTAAAAACAGCCATGAAATTTTTTTGTCTATTATATATTTATTTGTTTGGTCTTTTGCAATGTGGGATAAATGAAAATTCGACGTTTTGAAAATTCTATCAAATATTAAGTCGCATAAATAAAAATTTGTACAAATTAAGATTCGGTGAATTGGAAATTCTAGCATTTTAAAATTTGAAGCACTTAAAATATTCTATTAAATATGAAAATTCGATTAAATTAAAATTTTTTTTTATAAATATAAAGTTATGTAAAGAGAAATTTTAAATAAATTTTCCTGAACTAATTTGTTTCATGTTCCGAGACCTACTTTTGAACATAAATCCAATCAAAAAAAGTAGAGTAGAACAAAATAGCCTCTTTTCTGGGGTAAAAAGGAAAGATACTTTTCAATTTCGAAGGTGAGATTTATGGGATGTGAAAAAGGTCAGACACAGAAGGCTATTTGATTAGATTCATTATTTGGCTTTTTACACTGAAACGAAATTTCGTATATTGTTATAAAGATTTCAAGTAGCACTTTGTCACGTTTTCATTTTTCTTGTTTGCGGATCGAGAAATAGTCGCTTTCAAGAAATGCATTCTTAGAAGAAAAAATTACTTTTAGAGACAAAAGAAAATTCTTGGAAAAAAAAATTCCCAATATCAGAGTTATATTATTCACTCATATAGTTTAATGTAACTTTCTTTTACATATGTACTATACATATGTAGTTAATAACTCGTTTCAAAATATATAATTTTTCAAATTCTAATTTTATTTATTAATTTTAAAAAATATTTTTTATTCAATTATTTTAAAATACTTTTGTTATAGTTTGGAAAATTTATTTTCTTCTATTTATATTTCTTAAGAAAAATATTTTTGGATTTCCAAACGAGTAGATGTGTGTAATCTTCTGGGTGTGATTTGTTATACTCCATTTCTTGTTTATGTCACACGTTTCTTTTGGTAAATTTACTGTCACCTGTACAAACAGGAACAATATTATTATTTTCTTGTTATACACGCAGCAGGTTGGTGTAATTCTTGTGAGACATGAATATATAACATATTTTCGTAGAGTTGAAATTGAATGCAATTTGTCTTCGAGCTTTATAACCGCGCAGACATTAGATAGAGTCGACTAACAATAAGAAATAATTAGTTGAGAAATTTCGCAATAAACCTCGATGGATTTTCGGGTATTCACAGAAATTAGTGCGCGGTAAAAGCATATAGGAATTTCAATGTTCCCAGACTAAAACGCCAGTTTATATACATATAGAAGACACATACCTTTCTGACACGCAATAATTTATCAAAAATTAATTCCCTTCAATTTGTGTGTAAGTATGTGTGAATTATCAAACGTGAATTAATGAAAACCGAAACTTTAACTTGATTGCAGGATCAAATTATTAAATTTATACAATTTTTCTTGTTCTCAAATTCTAAAAAAAAATTTAATTAGAAATGTTCTTAGAATAAGAATATATTATATGTTATAACTCTATTACTCTCTAAATCTGAATTAGTAAAAATTTTTACTAATTTAAATTAGTAACTCACTTTTTGCTTTAGAATTAGTTAAATTTTACTAACAGAGAAGCAAAAAGTGAGTCACTAATTCAAATTAGTAAACTTTTTTAGTAATTCAGATTTGGAGAGTAGAAAGCATGGATTATACTCTTCAATATGAGCCAAGAGATTATATTCTTAAATTTAGAATTTAGTTTTTTCGGTGCAAATAAAGATTCCGCGTGCTCGTTCCATTATTTATTTTTTTTATTTTTTTTGTCGAGAAAATATCTTGAAAATGAGAAATATGAAGATTACCATAAATTTGTATCTTCCCTATCTTTATGGTCCATTAAGCCTTGATGTTTTAAACACAATTCATGGTAAATTTACACATGCAAAGGAAATTTGGCTTGGGGCCAAATATAGAAATTAGTGGAATTTTTTATATAAATGTCTTCTCGATATATTGTTTAATTTTATATACAAGAAGAAGGATAAGGAGTAAAAATTTTTTTTTTTTTTTCAAGACAAAAAAAAGAAAATTTTGACATTGAAATAAAATTGAAGAGTCAACATCAAATAAGGGAGAAAACTTGTGGATTACAAAAATTCCAGTGTGAATTTCCCGCGGTACCTTGGAAAAATATTGCCACGTTATTCAAATTAAACTAGCCGCTTCATGAATGGAAACAGCCAGTAAAGGATTCACGAAGTAAGCCAAGGGAATACGACACCACCATGAGCAGGAATGTTAGCTCGAGGCGCACTGTAATCCCGAAGGAAATGAAACATAAATTTTGTCCGTGTTACGTCCACCTCGAGTTGCATTTAATGGGCGAAGTTGAAAAGTTACCTGGACCCCCCTCCGATTTCCACCCTTTTGCACGTTCTTGCTTTCCTCTCGTTCACCACCGACATTTTTATCCGCTCGTAATTTTCACTCCTACACTCTTTTTACCCCCAATGGCCGTTTTTACTCATTTTCTGTAACCTTCAACGAAAAGTACTTCTAATGCTTAGCAGCTCTTTTCAGAATAAAAATTTATAGTTTCCGGAAATCTCGTCTCTCTTTAAAATCTAAGATAAAATTTAACACGAATTTTTTCTTTTTTTTTCATTTTAATTGCTACTAAATCTTAAATTATATATACATATATAAGTTTTAAACTAGATTTCAAAGTTAATTGATATAAATTTAATTAGTTTTTCTTTGTTGACAAAGAGTGATAATGGAGATTCCATTTTCATATCAGTTTCAAGCCTCAATGAATGTATAATTATTTTGAAAAGCTCTATTGGAGATAGGAATTTCAAACAACTGCACATTGTTTGATATGATTTAATAATTACATTATGGCAATTACAAAAACATAATCAATAACTATATATTCTGGGGAAAGTGAATGATTTTGAATTCAATGCTATTATTTATATATGTATACATATAGAGAAAATTAACTTATTATATGACCAGTATTAAGTTTTTATATGTCATTTCTTATATTTTTTATCTCTATAATAAAGACATATATTTTGAAAATGAAAAAACTTTTTCCAAGAGAATTTATAAATTTCAATAATTTTTATAGGAAATTTAAACTGCCACTTTTATTGCTTTTCAAAAAGTAGGTTTTCCACTTTTAAGTAGAAATTCAACTTAATTTTATGGAAGTACTTTTAGAATGGGCACTTAACTACACTAAAAATCGCTTGAGTTAATCGAATCCATTTGAAACCATTTTAACTTTTCAGAATATCTCAGAATTCCATTAAAAATCTCGCCATATTATGTGGACTGTGTAGCAGACTTTGAATTATAAGTACTTTTAACGAGCAGTGTGCGATTATTATATATATATGTGTAAAAAAAATTGTAATTAATTTTTTTTTTTAAACATATTCTTGTAAAAAAAACGCACGTTTCTGATATATACTTTGGTCTTTAAGTTGTATAATATTCTATAAGCGGAAATTGAACTAATTCATTTGTTTTGAGTGTATTGATTTTGAATTACAGAAAATCGATTTTATTTTACCATGGGTATATATATGAGGCAAAATTCCTGAAATGTCCGAACAAAAAATTAAAAGTTCTCGAATTTAATCCATACTTTTCTAAAATGTTGTTATTGTTGGTGAAAGTCTAAAAATCAATTATTATTGAATTTAATAAAATAGTTTTTGAATTACAACGTTTTTAATTTTTGACTTTTGAAAAAAAAAATTTTTTTCAATGTACAATATTTATAAGTAGAATGCATAAAAGTTAACATATATATAATGATTTTTGAAGCTTTTTTGACGAGCTACACGCTGTTAATAAAATTTTTTTGTTTTAAATAACATTTGACCTTGAAATTCAAGGTCAAAATGTTAATTTACGTTTATCTCAAAATCGGATTTTTTAAAATTATTTTTAACTATCTCAATGGAAAGCTTGACTAATTTCCTACAAAACATGTAATTTTCAGAGTGGGATCTTTTAAAGTTTTTGAGATATTAATTAATTAATTAATTAATGTTTATAACAAATGAAATATTTTACAAACGAATAAAGTTACCGTAATTCTGAAGTTAGTAATTGAAAGTTAACGTAATTCCGCATCCAACGAGCCCTATATGAAGTATTTTGGATAAGTAGATTGTTAATAAACAATTAGTTAACATTGCAATTATTTATTAACAATCCACTTATCCAAAATACTTCATATAGGGCTCGTTGGATGCGGAATTACGTTAACTTTCAATTACTAACTTCAGAATTACGGTAACTTTATTCGTTTGTAAAATATTTCATTTGTTATAAACATTAATTAATTAATTAATTAATATCTCAAAAACTTTAAAAGATCCCACTCTGAAAATTACATGTTTTGCAGGAAATTAGTCAAGCTTTCCATTGAGATAGTTAAAAATAATTT